TATGGATATAATACTGATGAATCTTAGCAATAATTTAAGGATACATATTATTAATTCAAAAATTATAGAACACTACATCAAACAATTGCAGAAAACACATTCTGCTCAAGTACGCTGGGAACAATCATTGAGATAAACCATATGGCCAGCTATAAAATAAGTCTTTATAGTAATTTTATTCAGTAATTTTCAGAAGTTTGAAATCTTAGAGTATGTTCTTTAACAACAATGGAATTAAATTAAATGTCAATAATAAATAAGATATTTGGAAAACCCCCAAATACTTGGACTCAAAAAACACATTCAAAATAAATAACCCAATGATAAAACTCACAGAAATTTAAAAATATTTTCACATGAATGCTAATTAAAACACAACATGTCAAAATTTATGGGCTATTACTAAAGCAGTCTTTAGAAGTAATTTCCTAGCTTTAAATGCCTACAATTTTAAAGGATAACAATTTAAATCAATGATCTTACTTTCTACTAAGTATACAGAAGAATAAAATTAAGTTGGTAGAAAAAAGAAATAATGAAGAAAAACAGAAATTGTTGAAATAGAAAGCAAATATGAGAAAGTTAACAAAGTCGAAATTTGGTTTTCTGGAAAGATCAATACATTTGAATCTCACAAATACTTCTGTTAGGAGGGCAAAATAGTACAACACCTTGGGGAAAAAATTTAGCATTATATTTTCATTTAGAATGTGCCATGCTTTACAAATCTGTGATGCTACTCATAGTCATAAACCAAAGAGAAAGTCTTATAAAATCTACACCAGGAAACTTACATAAGACGGTTTATAACCACCTTATTTATTATAGAACAAACCTAGGAAGAGCCCCAAAGCCCTACAATAGAAGAAGAGATTGTGGCATATTCATACATTAGAATATTACATGGAACTAAATTAATCACAACTATGCAGAACAATTAATTTAATCAAAAATTTCTTGAGTGTACATTAGGTGCTTGGCACTGATCTCAGCACTTGGCATACATAAGTTAAAAACTGACAGGATCTCTACCCTTGAGCAATTCACATTCTTGAGGTAGAGAAAGATAATAAGTAGATCATACAGCAAATAGGTAAATTATGTATAAAGTACAATAAAAAGTGATGAATGACAATAAGCAAAAGAACATGTTAAGTATTGGTAAGTGGGCTCTGGAATACTTGAGTTAGAGAAGCTGGGGGTTAAGATATAGGGGGAGCATAGGAAGATTGCTGTTATCAGTGTGACATTAAATAAATATAATATTGATAAGTCTTAGCAATGGTGAGTGACAAGAGTACATTGAAATGCTGTGCCTCAATTCTGTCCTGTAGCAGTGAAAACTATGAAACCTTCATTTGCTCCATTCTCTGGATGTGAGGAATTCAGAAGCCTTGTTTTGAGAGTGAGGGGGCATGAGATCAAAGCAGTTTTGATTAATGATTCACCTCCTGAATTATAAGGGGGCTATCAACTGAAAAAAGTTCGTTACTATTATGTGTACACTTAAGAAGAGAAAAAAAAATGCTGTCAGTGAATTATTTGTAAACTATCTTGTTTTTAGAATGTTTACAGTCATTATCACATTGGATTAAATTTCAATAAACTGAAAAAAAAAGTAAATCTGAACATTTTCAACTGGCTACCTTTTATCTACATGTTTCTACATCTTCATTTGCCAGTTAAAGAAATAGCTAGCAGCTATACGTTTGAAATTATATCCTCAAAATATTTGTAATATGTGATCCATCTTTCTTCCATGCGCATGAAATAATTCTTGTATCATCTGAAGAATATTTTGAGATATAATTTTATTTCAGATTTCAGAGACAATCTTGCATTGAAGTAATCAAAAATCAAACAAATACAGAAATATGTATTTAATAATGTATGTCAGTTCTTCCCAGGGAGTTCATTCTATATATGTGCTATATAGCTATAATTTCAAATATTATACAAATTAATGAAAAAAATTTTTTTGATTATTAATTTTCTGAATTTTGCAAAGGAAGTTTTTCCTTAAGAAAAGCATATCCATTTTCAAGGTTTTATTAAGTGGTTTCAATATAGTACTATGGGCTAAAACCAATATTTTTAGGCACAGACTTTGGGGATCACAGGGATTTCTTAAAAGAATTCACATGAAAAATAATTTCTTTACATGTTTTAAACAAAATTCACCCTAAATGCCTCCTTATATTCTAAGATGACTGAACAGAAAGAGTAATATGCATATTTGACCTATTACACAGTCATTTTCCAGTTACCAAGAGAGCTAATTTGGATATTTAAACTTAAAAATTTAAGGCAAAGGACTGCTGAAAAATATTAAATAATTTGATATTATATTTCTTATTTTAATATACCCAGTGAATTTCATATATTTTGACAGAATCGTAATTTCTGCAAATGATCCAAATTGGTACCCCCAAATTTCAAGCTATATGCATATTCATCTAGACCAAAGTGTTAGAACATATAATTATTAGATTCTAATTTACATTTCAACTTATCGCAAATTTAAATATAGCACGCCTGTCATTACATGGTAAAGAACTCTGAGAAACAAACTGAGGGTTTCAGAGGGGAGGAGCGTGGGGGGTTGGGTAAGCCTGGTGGTGGGTATTACAGAAGGCACATACTGCATGGAGCACTGAGTGTGGTGCATAAACAATGAATCTTGGAACACTGAAAAAAAAATTATAAAATAAAACTAAAAAAAAAAAAAAGAAATAAGCATATTCATAACATACATATGGATGCTTTAATTTTACATTAGTCACTGACTTCTTGTTCAATATCCCTAAGATACATTTTATTTCATATTAGGTTAGTTTGTACTTCATAATTTCTTCTAATGTATATTGGTGCCTATGGGGAAATTTCAAATTATATATGTTCCAAGTATTGGAGCAGAAGCATAAGTTAAAAAATAAACAACTGAAGCATGGATAACATGAGGCTCTCCTACTCCAAAGTGGAGAAGTTAACTAGAAAATTATTTTTTGGAGTTTAACTATTTGGATAAATACTTGCAAAACTACTTTGTAATAGTCTTACTCATATAGGGTAAGTTGGCTACTGCTCATTTTATAAAATAGTAAAGTGCTTGCAGAACAACTCACCAGGACAAGCTATTTCAAAAGAAAATGTTCAAGATAAGAAATTGAGTGGCAGAGACTCATTATTCATTGTTCTAACCTTATTTCCTCATTGCAGACAGAGTTTTGATATGTATTCTTATGTATATGTAGCACAGTAATTTCTACTGGGTGTTTAACTAGATACCAAGGTGTAGAGTTCCATAAATTTGAATGTATGCTTCAAACATCTGGAGCTATACATATGGGAAATATACAGCTGTGTTTATTTCAATGATTACACATTTACATGCATACAATACATTTATTTAAATGTATAATCTCCTATATATGTGAGAATATTTAAACAAATGCATTTGCTGTACTTACTTGAATATGCAATTGAAAAAGGATTCAAATAAATAATTCACCACTTTTATTTAAATCTTACAGTATTTATTTATATAACATACTTATTAATATACAATCATAGCTCTTTCTTTTTAGTCTAAAACAAATATTTTTAAAAGATTAAAGAAACATAATGGTGATCATGAGTCATACAAATCAAGAAATTTTGTGGAGAGTTATTTATAGTTAGTGAGCTTTCAGAAGAATTTGAAAATTCAGCAGGACAAGAGAATAAAATCATTTGCAATTGGAATGTGTCTTTTATCCCAACAATTTTATCATAGTATAGTGGACATTTTTAATTGAATCTCAAAGCACTTGTCCAGAAATACCGTTTTGTTTTTTCTGTTATTATGACTACTGTATCGGACAAGATAAACACTTCTGGGTATTGGCTTAATATAGAAGGAAAAAAGAGTTGCACTATTTTAAAACCACACGCATACAAATCTGGTTAAGAGTATTAAGATAATCTCATTTAACTCTACCTTTATTTCTAGGAGAGGAACTGGAGACCAGCAAATGATTTAGGAGAAAAGAAAATAAAATTACATTTTGGATTCAATTCCTGGTCCTGATATCCTGAGAGATTTCAGAGACCTTCTAGTTAGTCTATTTATACTTGTCTCAGTCCTTCTTTATTCTGTGTGCTATTTCCCTTCTCAAGGGCTTTTTTTTTTTTTTTTTTTTTTGGAAACTAGGATGGGCTGGCCTACAGGAAAATGACTTACACTAGAGCAAGGGAAAAATTGAAAAATTAAATTGGAAATCGCCTAATTTTAAGAAAGAATTTTATATTCAATTCGCCACAGTAAAAAATAATGACTACAGGCACTTTTCATTTGTTGAATGATTGAATAAATGTAACCTATCTGAGCCTCAGTTTCATTGTTCATAGGCCTTGGATAATAACAGCTCTGTTGGGTGTTGAGAGGAGTAAGGGATTATAAGGTATAAATCATTCAACTGTTAAATGCTTTCCAAAAATATTATCTTAATATTTCATTCCCATTTCGTAGACGTGAAAACTGAATACCTGGACATACCTCCAAAGTTTTATTGTTGCTCATGATTCAGGAATCACTTTTCCTAGGTTAATTAATCTGTGAAAAACTTCAATCTGCAAACAACGTTGTTTTCAGAGATAGTTCATGCTTCCTTCCTCCAAGGTATGCTTCCCGGAGAGTGGGGATGGGGAATGTGTGTATTAGGTGAGAAGCCTTCAACAATCAAAAGAACGTACTCTCGTGTTTTATATTTCTCAAACGAGTTATAGTCCTTATTTCTAATTTCTGGGGTCACCTCGTAAATCAAGTATGGGAGTTTGGGACTCCACGCTGGAGGAAGAAGAGGCCGCAGGGCGGGCTCCTCGGCGTCCGAGATCCGCGCACAGGCGGGAGAGAGACTGACCAATCGGAGCGCGGGCTGGGGACTGGTCGCGTCCTTTTCCTCCGAGCCCCGCCTCTTTTCGTACAGCCCGTTGGGATTAGGGGTGTGCGGCCGGCTCGTCCCGCCCCTGCCTCTGAGTGACAGGACCGTGGACAGCAACATTTCCAGCTAGACCCGAAGTTTGTCGGCCCTTGCCTTGGCTGAGCTGAGGTGTGTGTGTCCGGCGAGGGCGAGGGGGCTGGGGAGGCCCTGCCAGGGAAGCTCGGGGTCAGGGACTGAAAGCGGGCGCACGGCCTTAGCGAGCCCCCAAAGCGTTTAGGAGATGGTAGTTCCGCTCCTGAGAGCGGCACTTGGGCGGGCCGTGTGGAGGGAGGCTCTGGAAGAGGGGGAACCCGAAGCCCGGGAAACCCAGTAGGTACGGTAATAACTTAAGGACCCCTTCTGGCGAACAGGACGCTCGCGGTGGGGGTGGGGATGGCGGGTCTGGTGTTGGGGTGCGGGGTGGGCGTGGCCGCCGCTGTTGCTAAGGAACGCGCGGTTCCCGCCCTGCCAGCGTGTCCGGCTGGGGCACTGGGCCCTGGAAATTTTAGTCCCGCCCACCTCCCTAGACCGACCTCTCACTTGGCTAGGGATTGGCTCCCTTGTGCTGTCAGTTAATTAGCGTTCGTTTATTTTACTGTCTAGCTCTCCCGCTCGGTAGTTGTCTGGCGTCCCTCCCCAGTATTACCCTTCTCCGTACTTTCCCCGCCTTTCCTTCTTAATAAGCATCTGCAGACCAAAACAGGCAGCGTGAGGTGGCTTTATTTGCACGGAGGAGGGGGCGCCGGAGTGGGATGGGGAGAGGATCTTTGCTTGGTTCTTGGTGAATCCCTGAACCCACAAAGTGTTGGTGTCCATGTGGATGGCTAGGGAAAGGTGGATAGGAGATCTAGTCTTTTCCACCTAGAATTCTTTTTCTCACTGGTGCCCGTTTGAGCACAATGAGCAGCTCAGGAAGTTTAGGCTGTTCATTTTTGGACAGGCTTCAATACATGATCTCCATGTCTTCTGTGGAGAGTGGGTAATATTAAGCTTTATGTAAAGCCCCTTGGCTTCACTGACCCACCTTCAATGATTAACTGTAAGATGGTAACCACAGAAAACCACTTCAGATCTCTTTGCTCATACCAGTTGGCCCCAAATGATTCAGCAGAACAAACATTCCAGAGAGAAAACACAAAAGGAGCTAAAAATCTGCTTTTACTTCCTTCTGCTAGGTTTACTGTATAAATCCCCAAGAAGGAAGCTTGTACTGCTTGATAACACTGGGGAGAACGTTGACCTATAAGTCAGAAAACAGGCAGGGTTAGGAAATACTGTCCTTGGGCAATAACTTTCATAACTTTTCTCATCTATAAAGTGGGGCTTCTGTGCCCTTTGTTCCTAAAGAGTAAGAAGGGATAATTGATTATGAAAGTATTATTAATGATCTACACAGATATAAAATGTTACTGATTACATTTTATCTTTTTGTCTGTATAATCTGAATTTGTAAACACAGAAGTATGATTATTCAGCTTAAATATTTTCAGACATCCTTTGTAACTTATCATTGGAACTACTCTGGGTCTGTAGTTCCCTCCTTTATGTTAATGATTCTGTAATAGTTCTGGTTACATAGCACCTTAAATGTTTTGTGTGACATCCCTCTCCCCCCTTACTTGACATCACTGGTTTTTCAAAGTATACACATAGCCTGAAAGGATTGGGAAAGATTACCTTCTAATCCAAAGATAAATGACCTCTTTGGTGCCATATACCACTTTGAGAAGCCAAGGAAAGCTGTTGACTCTCCCCTTAGAGAAAGACACAGTTGGAAGCCCAAGTGGTCCTGGATTAAGATCCTATTTTGGATCAACTTCTTGAGGGATAAGGAAATTACTCTCCTCCTTGCCTCATCTCAAAGAGAGAGTGAGTATATAGTTGGGAAAAAAATTGGGTCTTTTTCCTTTCTTCCACAATGCATTTACCATAGTTTAATTCAGAATCTTAAGCCAATCCTTTCTTTTTTTAAACTATTTAATAAACAGGAACTACCAATAGATTGTTGCTGTCGTTTCAAAACCATGTAAGCTGTAATTTTTTTCAAATACCTTTTGATCATTCTCTTAAAGGATATTCTTGTACTTACACCAGTGGAAAGAGAAATTATTGTCAAATATTTTGAGAAAATGTGAAATGGTATTTTTGAGATTAACATTAAATACATAAACTTTCTCTTCTATCAAAGTCCATTTTGGACAAAGAAAAACTGATTATGTTTAGCATATGCCACTTGAATACCATAACCTGACTCCTAGACTCCTTTCTACAACTTAAGTGAGTCATCTTTTGTACTATTTTAATTTCTTGTGGCTAAAAAATATTGTGGTTGGTTCCACTGTGGCTCTTTTCTTGATTTCTGTATTTAAATAAAAGGCTATAAATGAGGTTACTTTGTTTGCTGAATTTTCTTATCGAGGTTTATCAATAAAGTGGACATCTGTAGTAGATATTTTCATTAGGGAAAACACTGGAAAAAGAAAATATATATTGCTTTTGTAATAAACATAAGAGTATATAGGAGCACTTGTTTTCTTTATTAGCATTTATAATTTCATTTGAATTGTTCAGTATTTGATTATCCTTTCTTAACTCCATTTCTGGTGGAGAAGCTGGTATAAAGACAAATGGATTAGAGAAAGCATTCTAATGAAATTAAAGTTTTTAGGGCCTCAGTAAATAATAGCTTTTTTTCTCTCTTGAATTTGTTAACAGGTGGAGTTTACAATATCAGCTTCATTACTAAATAGCTGATTGGGCATAATAATTTCAATAGGAGAATAGAAATGAATACTAGTACTTCCTGTCCCTTTCTACCTCCGCTTCTTTTCTCAGAACCTAGACTTCAATGAGAGAAAATTTCAGTTTGCAGAAAAGATGCACTTACCCAGAATTACTGATAGGCATGGCCCAGGGAGGAGAGTGAAGTAAAAGAAGGAAAACCTCTAGCATTTACAGATTTGCAGTAGTTACTATCTACCCATTGGAGTAATATGGACCAATGGATTTGAGTCATCAATCAGATAACTCTCCTCTTGGGAAGCTGCAAGTAGGGAGTGGGATCTGAGGCCAGGACTGTTAACCTAGTGTTCTGATTTTCTACCCTGGGTGATCCCTTTGGGTCATTTGAAATACGCAGAGGTGTTTTTAAATTATTACTATGTGTTTGAAAGCTCCTGGCTTTTGGGACCCTGTGTAATATAGAGGTACAGCTCAATGAAGAATTTTCTTCCTCCCCTCCAATGCCAGAAATACCTCCTTTGAGAACCACTGTTCCAGTGAAGTTCCTCCACATGGAAACATGAGGCTAGGCCAGATTTCTCCCGAGTCTTTGTTCCTCTGTATTCACATTTTTGATATCAATAGATTTAGCTCTAAGTGTGAAGGTTTTAATAAAAATATTGCTTAGAAATTGTCATTTTTTGGTATTCTCCCAGAATGTCCAAAACAATATTAATGCAAAGTAGTGATGCATATTTTATAATATTTGATATCCTCAAGACATATCTAACTGAACAAATAAGGATCATAGATTCCTAGAGCTAATTCTTTTCACACCTCTTACATCCATACCTGTTAAGTATCTTTGCAACAACAGAGTGAAATAGGTATACAGTTTCATGAAAAAGAAAAAATGATTTCTTAGCCTCCTAATTTGGGAATGTTAAACAATAGAAAGATAAATACTCTGTACTCAGAGGTTTAACAAATTCTGTTTTGTTGAATCAGAAGGTGGAGACAGTTGCATAAGTGAGAGGATCTTATCAGTTTCATGGTTTTCAAGCCACTGAACATGGAGAATGACAACAGGATTAAAAAGATGCTTAGTTCTTCTATAGAAGTATTATGTAGTGGATGCTTGGGTGGCTCAGTTGGTTAAGCGACTGCCTTCGGCTCAGGTCATGATCCCAGAGTTCTGGGATCAAGTCCTATGTCAGGCTTCCACCTCCATGGGCAGTCTGCTTCTCTGTCTGACCTTCTCCCTTCTCGTGCTTCTCTCACTCTCTTTCAAATAAATAAAGAAAATTTTTTTTAAAAAAGGAGTATTATATAGTGATATAGTTGCAAAATTAGCAGACCAATTAGACTGATCAACTTAAAATTTTGGCAAAGAAAAAAGGAAGATGGTTAAACCGAAAAAACATTTTATCATAGATATTAAAAATATTCGAATATTCTAGGATGTAGAATAATAAATTATATGGGTACCTGTGACAAAGTCCTACTTGTGGATTATAGTTTATATCTACACTAGATAGAAGGTACACTGGACTGAAAGGTTTTGGCTTAGCTCCAGCAGTAGAAACATTATTTTGGATGGAGTGGGGGGTGGTTTATAATGTTTCAGGCATCAAGTTCCTTATAACTGAATATATACAGTTGAAGATTTATGAGGTTCTTCCATTTTTATGAAGAATGTGCTTGAACATTATAATACATTCTCATTATTCACAGTGGTTCAGTATAGCACTGAATCTCTCTGGGCAGGGGCATATCAGATTTTTTTAAGGATGGAAAAGTATAATTTTAAAAAGAACCAGTTTCTGATTCCATTTTGTCATTTCCTAGGTGTCCATTCTCTGCCTCCTCTCCTCTCCTCAACATCTCCACCCCACCCCCCATACATACATATATACATTTGGAAAAGACTCGACTAGGTAGAAATGATCTGTATAGTCTCATTCAATGCCAAAATATTCTGGATAGATTTAGCATTTGAAATGAATAGAGTAGAATATAAAAGCCCCACAAATCCAAGGAAGAGTTAATCATAAGATTCAGTGAAATACCTGTGAAAATCAAGAATTTTAAGCTACAGAAGAACATTTGAGGAAATTCTTTGACATCTAATACAAGAATTCATGGCCTCTATGGATAGGAGAACTCCATATAAAAAGGACAGACAATGATTAAGTGACAGTAGAAAGATAAAAAGGTAAAACAAAAAGATGAGGAAGAAACTAAAAATGAGAACTCTATTAATTTATATTCTTGCTTTAACAAACTGCCACAAACTTAGTGACTTTAAAAAGCACAAATTCGGGGCACCTGGGTAGCTCAGTGGTTAAAGCCTCTGCCTTCGGCTCAGGTCATGATCTCCGGGTCCTGGGATCAAGCCCCACATTGGG